TTTATTTTTTGTGCAGGTTAATAAATATTGTTTTTCTAGATGGGCAAGTTTTTTTTTTTTTTTTTTTCCTTTTTAAGCATGTGCATCTGTTAATTGTAGTTTGTAACTTATATATTTATTTTTCCATGCAGCAAAGCCTGGTGGGCGGCTGAAGTGCCAATATTTCCCAACTGTGGATAAAGTTATCTTTGTGGATGATTATGCAGTGGGCTGTCGGAAAGACTTGAATGGTATTTTATTACTAGACACAGCACTTCAAACTCCAGTTGGTAAACCAGATGATGTGGTCCAGCTTGAACTGCCAGTTACAGAGGTAAGTGCTTGTATCTTCAGATTTTCATAATATTTAAATCACAGCTGTAGGTTTTTTTTCTATGTTCAAATATATTTAAGTTTTGCATCGTAAAATGTCAATCAAGGGTTATACAGGACAACGGGATACGGGACACTATGTCACAGTGTTAATGACAAAACTTTCTGTAGTACCTACAAGGTATGGGAAACTTGGCAAGATGGACCCCATAGTGTTTGGCAAGAGTGACAGACTATGGTTATTGTTGGATCAATGCTCTCAAAAAGTATTGCCACATGTATAAAATGCTTGTTAATCCCCAAGTTGACCCAGTCCTCATCGCTCTTGTAACCATTCCAGTCTGAGCAGTGGTTAGGGGAATACAATGGCCAATTGATTATTCAGTTATGAGAATAGTTAACTTTTCTCATTGATTAGTTGTTTGGATCCCCTAGCTCTCTCCTCCACGTTGGCAGGAGGGCACAGCAAGCAGTAGGCGGGTGCAATAGCCAGCCTGCTATTGGCTATTGTAATTTTGAAATGGCCAATAGCAGGCTGGCTATTGCACCCGCCCACTACCTGCTGTATTTACATTCAGCTGCCATCTGCAGAATCTTTCCATTGGCAACTGGCATTCCCTGGCTGAAGCTATTCAAGCGCCATGTGCTTCCAATACACTTTATTTTTAAAAAAAAATTTAAAAGGTGGGAAAAGTAATTTTCGGCCTGACATTTAATGGCACCTCAAATGTGGCTCCCGCCCACAGTGTGATCGCTCGCACTGGAACACACGTTACCGCAATGCTGTGCGTTCCAGTACAGTGCGATTTCAAAAAAATTGTGTATGCAGTTTTATTCTGAAGTAAACTTTGTAACTTAAGGATGGTGTATTTATTTTTATCAGATTAATCGAAAAATGATCGGCAAACGAATGGATTATGAAATGTAATCATTATTTGCACTCCTAAAATGCAGACACACATATAGTCCAGTGTTTTTCTGAGCAGATCCTGACACTTTGATGTGAATGGACAAACGTATGTTTTATGTGCATAAAAATGTGCAAAAGAGCCCAAAAACAATGTTTTTACATTGAAGTTTAATGGGCCAAGAAGCATAGAATCTGCCAAAGAGCTGCTCATGTACTTTCAGCGATGGGCGTTTACGCTCAGATGTGAACATGTTGGTAGAAGTGAGTGGGTTTTTTTGGTGGCTTTTTAATTTTTTTAGCAGAAAAAGCGCCACAAAACTTTCAGTATGAATAAGGGCTTAATATTTCCTTAGTTCCTCTTCCTCCATCTCTGTTATTAGACCGCAGTATTGTAGCAAATCTGAAGGTGAGGCTTCAGCAAGAAACTGCTCTGTCTTTTTTTTTAAACACAATGGGGACATTTTGCAAAATTGGAGCAGACAAAATCTGGAGCAGTTGTCCATGGCAACCAATCAGCATCTCTCTTTTAGTTTGCTCAGGTAAGATTTGAAAACGAGACTGGTTGCAGTGCAAATCTGCTCCAGATTTTGTCTGCTCCAGTTTTGATAGATTCCCCTCAGTCAGTATAAGCAAGGATAAAGTTTTCTTCACTGGTCTTCCCCAGTACATGGGGAAAGTACATGTTTACTTTAATCCTGCAAGTAACTTTTTGAAGTTTTTCATTTGTAATCAATTGTGGTGTTTTACTTTTTGATCTGTAGGTACAGCAGTTGTTGTCTGCGTGTTTGGAGAAAATTGACGTGTCTAGTGCAGAAGGCTATGATTTGTTCATAATGCAGCTGAAAGATGGCTTTAAAAATACCTCACATGAGACAGCAGCAAACCATAAGGTTGCCAAGGTAAGAAAAACTTTATTTTGGTTTTCACTTTTTTGTTGCAAAAAATTATTTTCATGTTATAACTGAGGGACAATCCTTTTTGCCTGAGTTCTTCCTTGTTGGGCTTCAGAACTCCTCTTCCCTCACCTCCATAAAATAAGGTTGAGGTATTCTTTAGTCCAGCAGGGAAGAACTCGGGCACAACTGATAACAGTGGGTTAGCTGCAGAGCTAGTCAGTACACTACAGGAAGTTAGGCCCTAGTGACACTTGCAATTGGGGCTGGTTTGGTAAAGCTGGCCATACACCTATAGACCTGAACAATGCCTGCATTCAATCAGATTGTTCAGGTAATTAGAGAGCCAGTAGGGCCGAATAGCAAGATACTGGACCTTGGCCCAGTGGGAGATTCCTCCATCCACACAGTTTAGCGTAGATGGAGGAATCTGTTGCACTTTTTCCATATGACCATAAAAAAATCTCCAGAAAATCTACAGGTGTATGGCCAGCTTAAAGGTGCCCATACACCTTGTGATTTATTGTACGATTTTCATATATGATCTTTTGTCTTGCGAGGGTTGTAAAGTAATTTAAAAAATGTACGATCTGCCCATCGCTGCTGAGGGGCGGGCTTCTGATGACTGCAATGCTGAACGGGCAGTGTGCGCGTGCGTCTCCATTCCATAAAGCACATTTTGCACTTAATCTTTACGGTCTCATGTTCGCTGTGATCACCTCAGCCTTTAGAGAATTTCATTCATTTTCAATCCTTTTCAAAGCATAAAAACTATTAAACTGGTTGAGTCATCCTGCCACACGTAGCTTCAATTGTTTAATGAGATCACTAGTGGTGTTTAGATGGCGGGGGTACCTAGATCAGTTTGGTGGGATTTTGTACTGAGAAGCTTAAAACTGGCTGAAAATTGCTGTGTGAAAATAGCAGCGCTACAATGTCTGGACTGTATAAATAGAATTGGTACTTTGTAGGTTTATTTTTAAGTGTAATCTATTATCTTTTGTTTGGCAATATGCGGATTGAAAGTGTAATACAGCCAGTTTCTACCGACAAGTAGGAGTCAGAAACCGCCTTTTAAATTTCCTGCCTAAGGGCGTGTTCACACCATGTGCAGACCTGTGCAGACCAGAACAGTTTGTTCCCTGACCAAAAATGTATTCCAATGTATCCCTGTGGTATTTCTGGGCTCAGTTCACACCAGCGCAGTCTGTTTTGGTTCAGACATATAAAATACTGCTAGTCTCATTTTCATTGGTCCGGAACGCACGTAAACGCATGCAGACGCACTGCAGCTGAAAGCCCATTTTGAAAACCTCTCTGCTATTTGTTTTGACAGCTCGAGAGCCCGATGTTTAGATACACTTCACTCAAAAGATACAATGTATATCTTTTGAGTGAAATGTATATCTTTTGAGTGAAATGTATCTGTTCTGATCGTCTAGGCACGATCAAAGAGCTTTTAGGCCTGGTTCACACCTGTACGTTTTGTAGCGCCTTCACCGCTCTACAAACCGCTCTACAAACATAAGCCTAATTGCCAAAAAATTTTAAAAAAGTTAATTTATCAAGCAGTCATAGTGACTGCTTGACATAAACTGACAAGAAAAAAAAGTTTTTTTTTTGTAATTTTTTTTGTACAAAGTGTAAAACAAAATTAGGAAAATAAAAATATGTAAATATATTTTTTATACTATAATTAATATAAAAAAATTATAAAAAAAATAATAATCAAAACTTGTGAAAAAAGTGTTTTCTTCTAGTTTTTTTCCTCATTTTTTTTATTTTAAAAAAAATTATAAAAAAAATAATAATTCAACTGAGGGGTTAGACACACATATGTGATATAATTATATAGCCCTATCTGTGCTCTAAAAAACAATATATAATATGTGTGGGTACATTTAGTAAGAAAGTATATTACTGCTGTGGAAGAATCACACAGTAAAAAGGGTCAGTCATTTATGAACAAACTGAAAACTAGCTCAGTCATGAAGGGGTTAATGTTAAACTTGTTCTTATGTATATTTTTGTTTTTGCCTTTCTTGCAGTGGGCGACTGTCACATTTCATCTTCCTCATCATGTGTTAAAGTCCGTGACTGGTGCCATTGTGAATGAGTTGAAGAAAATAAATCAAAATGTTGCTGCACTGCCTGTAGCCTCTTCTATAATGGACAGACTGTCTTATCTGCTACCTAGCGCCAGGCCAGAGCTTGGCGTTGGTCCTGGTCGGTCTGTAGATCGGTATGCTTTATGCTTTTCTAAATTGCCATCTAATGCATTCACTGTTGGTCTATTATTTATTGTACATAAATAAAATAACATTACAACAAATCATGATAACAAGACTACTCATCACAAGGGTTTATATGCAGATTGTAAGCTCCTTGTCGGCTTAATGCAAGTGTCTCTCACCCCCTACTGTCTGTGTTTACAGAGCTGCTTTAGCCCTTTCACTGCCGGAGCAATTTGTTCATTTTTTTGTACATGAGAAAATGCACATTTTAGGCCTGAAGATTACTTAAATCAATCCCAAAACATGATATATTCTGAAAGCAGGTAATAAGTGTAGGGTGGACAAATTCCTCTCGAATTTAGGAGTCTTTTCAATCCAGGAGCTACCAGGATTTTTTTAGAAGCCAGCTCCATTGACATCAAAGTCTTGAGAAAGGTTGGCTGTGACTTCCCAAAACATTGGTGCAGCAAAGCTACCATACTGTCCTCCACCTCTGAGTACCTACAATACCTGTTACTACATTATTTGTTTTGTGTGGGGTACCAAGGCATTTACTTTGAATGGAGTGCTGATAGAAAATGTATGTGTCTTTTTCTGCACTAAGGTCTCGTTCACACCTAGGCGTATTGCATATGCGCGATTCGCGGTAAAAAAAGTTGCGTCTTTCCGAAGGCTACTTGGCTGTATCCCAATGGAAACGCGCAACAAAACGGCCCAAAGTAGTACATGTACCTTTTCAGGCGTGGGCCGTTTTGTAGCGCGTTAGGGACGGGCGGAAATATGCCAAGGTGGGAACGAGACCATTGAATACAATGGGATTTATATTTTTGAGCGTTTTGTAGAGCGTTCATCGAGCGTAGAACGCGCTACAAAACGTTCAGGTGTGAACGAGGGCTAAGTGCCACAGGTTTAATATGCTGGCTAAGAGAGCACTCTATAATGTGCACTTGTTGTATCCTCAAACGTTTTGCTATAATTCTTGATGAATAGTGGATTCTTGTAAACCTACAGATCATCCAAACTACTTGTAATGTACCAATAAAATAGTACCAATAAAAACAGACTTTGCTTGATGCTGTACCTTTTGTAAAGCCAAGGATAAACTGGTTTTATTGCTGGGCAATAAATCCTTAGCAACCTATATACCATCCCATGTAAATAAACATTTAGGCCCCATTTTATTTGTGCGAATAGGGCCAATTCTCATGAATCTCACAAATTACTCCATGAGATCTTGAGAGATTCCTGCAAATCTGTCTTCAGATCTCTCCCCTTTGCTTTCATTGAAGTGGTCACAACATATGTTTTTTGGACATTATATATGCACATTTGTTACTTTGATTTTTTTATTTATTTATGATGTAGATGTTATTTTGAGAGTGTGGGGAAGATTTAGTAAGTGCACTTGACGTTTGTCTTTTTTTTTTGTGTTACACATATTGACATGTAGGGGCACAGTCCTAGTCAGTGTCTGGAAAATCAGAGCAATCTGTATACACTAATATTCAAACACCGTTACAACATTTTATAGTGTAAATGGTCAATCCAGACTTTGGTCTCTTTAGGTTGTGTAATGCACTATGCAAAGGACGTCATGGAATGAAAAATCCATGTGCTACTTATTCAACCAGCTAGTGGGGGGTAATGTCCCGGTCTATTCTCCACCAATTGCTCCTCGGCTTCTTCTTTAGGAGAGCAAGGATTAAGATTTGTATACAGATCCTCTCTAAATAGATGTACGTGCATACACACAACGTTTGTGTGTGTGTAATATAGATATAGATATATATTTAGTGTGTGTACAGTTTGCCCACTTACAAAGAGATGAAAGGTCTATAATTTTTTATCATTGGTGTATTTTAAATGATAGAGACAGAATATCAACCAAAAATCCAGAAAAACACATGATACAAATGTTATAAATTGAGTTGCAGTTCTGTGAGTAAAATAATTATTTGATCCCCAAGCAAAACATGACTTAGTACTTGGTGGAGAGACCCATGTTGGCAAGCACAGAAGTAAGACGTTTCTTGTAGTTGGTTACCAGGTTTGCACAAATCTCAGGAGGGCTTTTGGTCCACTCTTCTTTACAGATCTTCTCTAAATCCTTGAGGTTTCTTGGCTGTCGCTTGGCAACCCGAAGTTTCAGCTCCCTCCATACATTTTCTATAGGATTAAGGTCTGGAGACTGGCTAGGCCACTCCATGACCTTAATGTGCTTCTTTTTGAGCCATTGCTTTGTTGCCTTGGCGGTATGTTTTGGGTCATTGTCATGCTGAAGGACTCATCCACGACCCATCTTCAGTGTTCAGGCTGAGGGAAGGAGGCTCTTATCCAAGATTTTACAGTGCATGGCCCCGTCCATTGGCCCCTAAATGCGTCACAGTTGGCCTGTGCCTTTTAGCACAGTCAAGCCTCCGTGCTTGACTGTAGGGATGGTGTTCTTAGGGTCATAGTCAGCATTTTTCTTCCTCCAAACACTGCGAGTCGAGTTAATGCCAAAGAGCTCAATTTTGGTCTCATCTGACCGCAGCACTTTCTCCCAATCCGTCTCTGAATCATTTAGATGTTCATTGGCAAACTTCAGACAGGCTTGTACATGTGCCTTCTTGAGGAGGGGGACCTTGCGGGCGCTGCAGGATCTCAATCCATGTCGGTGTATTGTGTTACCAATGCTTTGTTTGGTGACTGTGGTCCCAACTGCCTTGAGATCATTCACAAGCTCCTCCCGTGTAGTTCTGGGCTGATCCCTCACTTTTCTCATGATCATCCTTACCACGAGGCGAAATCTGGCATGGAGCTCAAGACCAAGGGCGATTGATGGTTATTTTATATTCTTTCCATATGGGAATAATGGCTCCATTAGTTGTTTCCTTCTCACCAAGCTTCTTGCTGATGGTCTTGTAGCCCATTCCAGCCTTGTGCAGGTCTACAATCTTGTCCCTAACGTCCTTTGTCAGCTCTTTGGTCTTGCCCATGGTGGTGAGGTTTGAATGGAAGAAAGATTCTGTGGACAGGTGTCTTTATATATACATAATGAGTTGTCTTTAGGGGCACCTTCTTAAATAGACGAGACTAATCTGTGTACCAGCCAGTCTGTGGGAGCCAGAATTATAGTTGGTTGGTAGGGGATCAAATACTTATTTTACTCGCTAAACTGTAACTCCATTTATAACATTTGTATCATGTGTTCTTTTTCTGGATTTTTGGTTGACATTCGGTCTATTATTTAGAATAGACCTTTCATTTCTTTGTAAGTGGGCAAACTTACAAACTCTGCAGAGGATCAAATAAAAAATGTCTGTGTGGGCAGAGAGAGAGAGCGGTTTCACCCATACCAAAATAACATCCTATAAAAGGGATCTTCTTTATGATTTAGACCAAGAGCTATGGTGTCTTTCAAATGCATTTATGAAAGGTGTTTGGTCAAACTGCTTCGCCCCCCCTTCCCCCCCCTTTTTTTTCCTTTTCAATAAGACCTATGTTCTTCAGCGTTGCCAAACGCTATACTTTTTTATCCTGATGTGTGCTTGTGTGGCAAATCATAGCTGTCATTCAATGCTAGATCTTCTGACTTTTTCTTTTTAGTACACAAGTGTGCATCCTATTTCCCACTTTTCATTTTTTCCGTCTTCCACAACTTTCTCCAGCACACGGAGATCCTTTGCCAGTATGAGCATTACCCCTCATTGCCCGGTCTCCAGTGTACATGTATTAACCTTTTTAGTGGCCAGAGTCCCTAGTATGTACATTGGCACCTCCAGTATGTGCTTTAAAGTGGAATGCCAGGCAAACGGATGTGCAGTAAAACTAGTCTAGTATTTTACCTGCTGAAGAATATGTAGTTTTCTTTCAGTCTTGTTGTTCATATACATTTGCCAAGCAGTATATCCAGACCATTCTACTACAGTTTGGTTTAGCTTTACTTGTTCCTGTAGTACCTCCCTGCTCATTGGACAGTGCTGATGATGATCATTTTTTGCCAGGTGAGCAGTTTGATTGTGAACGTGTATTGCTGAACAGGGAAGCAAGTGTTTTACCTGCCTGGTTGTGCATATGTGTAAAATAACAGGCCTGGCTATACATATTCACACATCCTCCAGCAGCTAAAACCTTAAGGGCCCATTCACACCATGTCCGGATCATCACCAGACCAGATTGTTTCCGGACCCAAAATGCATCCCTACTGCTCGTCCTATTTTGTCTGGTCTGAAATGCATTGGAACGCATACAAACGCACCTGTAAGACCATTTTAAGCAAAAAATTAATTTCTAATTGTGGCAAAAACGCAATTCACTGCGTTCCAGGTCTGGTCCGGAAAATGGTGTGAACCTGCCCTCAACGTATACACTACTAGTCAAAGGTTTTAGAACACCGCAATCTATGCTATTTTTTTGGTTGAAATGTTTGCAGTTCAATAAAAGTCATAGAACAAATGAAATTGGAGATGAAAGGATTCCCTGTGTGTTTGTTTGTTTTTTTTTTTTTTAAATTGCAACGTAATCACATTTTTTGACTCAAAGTGGCCAACTTTCTGAATCGTACAGGACACATGAGTGTAGTCTTAGCCATGGGTTATATACAGATAATTCAGGTGATTGGACAAGGCAAAACAAAGCTCTTGGTCAGCCCCTATAGAACACCTCCCACTCGTAGCTGTACCATAACCACTGTGGCTTCTGGCAGGTTTTCAAATTAGTTGACACCTCAGCTGAGCTGTGGTGGACTGTACCCAT